TGGGCGGAGCTCCAAGCTTTCTTTCTGAAATGGGTTGTTATATGATGACTTTATTCCCATAATGTTACGACTTTATTCTCGAAAAAAAATTGTTTTCAAAATCTAGCATGGCCCTGATATTTTGTCGTACTGCTGCGATCGCCACAATCGTTACTAAATAAGTATTTGTTATTGTTAACAAAAAAAATTATGTAGTTCATCATTTTGGTGAATATAAGTATTGTTGCTCATTTTATTTGGAAACTTCTATCAGTGCGTATAGGTGTAATAATTACAAAAATATGGAGGATTTTCCAGATGGAGCGGCCAAGGAGGCCAATAAGGGAGGCTCCCCTTTTATTTCTACGGATAAAGGAACGTTTGAGTAACATTGGAGAAGTCTTTATTGACGACAATACAATCAGATTTTTCATAGACCACATTGTTCTGTGTCATTTTTTATTCTAAAAGTTTCCTCGAAGGGTTTTTTACGTTTACTATTTCATTTTAGACCAGAGAAATATCAGTTCCTCGAATTATTAAGGTCTTCTGGCGCCAAAGTAGAATGAACTGTGGACTTAACGATACAAATGATGTTTTCCAGCAATACTTTAACATTATATCTTTATTTAAATAATAAAAATATGTTAAAAGGGTTCAAATGTGTTACAACCAGATGGGTTCGCTGAACTACTAAACACAGAAAGTATTAAAGAAATGAACTACTCTTTGATCATACGTCTAATGGCAAAAAAAATAACCAAACGGTGTTATAGCAGTTCATTCCTAAGAGAGAAATACAAATCGCAAATACAGGAAGTGTAACAGGAAGGTTTTTCTTTTTTTGCCACAGTTTTTCTTTTTTTCCATCAAGGCTAAAACCATGAGTCACTTCCCCAAAGTTCAATTTCTACTTTTGTTTAAGTTGAGCTGAATGGTGGCAGCCGGTGAGCTTAAGTGCTGTGATCATTCTTTTCAGGAGAAAATCTGAAGTTTTCTTTAAACTTAACCTTCATTGTTTTGTTTTTTTGATAAACGTTCCAGGGAAGATTTTCTGAGAAAAACAGCCAACCCTATTTAGAGGTGGTAAACCAGCCTCTGGGTGGGTCAAACTTTTTCCTGGAACCTACTGAGGATAAATAAACTCACACATGTTTAGTTTATGTTTTTGTTCACTTAGCATAGTTTATTGTAACCATATAAAACCAAAAAAGTCTCTTAAAGATGATCAGTATGTGGGAAAGGGCCTTCTCTCCTACTAACCAGTTTACTTTCACTTTAGCCAGACATAGTTTAGCTGTCATGATTTTATTCAAAGATCTGACCCACATGCAGAAAACCAAACAGAGACCAGGGGAAGGTTTAACAAGTTTATTGAGAACTGGTAGAGATGTGTCCAGTGCTGCTCTGAACACTGGCGAATCGGGACTGAAAAATGAAGGGGAAGTTCCTGAGGTTAGTTCAGGCTCAGTGGGAAATTTGAGCTTTGATTTGCAAAAGGGAATAAAGGCAAAAGGACTCACGTTTCCAGAAAAGGTGTCTTTCTTTGAATCCAGTCGTTGTGTGTTGTTCCAGTAATTGACTTGCTCGTTGGAGGGCGGACAGGGTTTACCCAGTTTGAGGTGTTTCCTTGTGGAACGGAGGAGCTGACTGCCACTGTACTGTTTCTTGTGGAGATGGATCCCCTGCTCAGTGTGAAGCTCAAACAATCCTTTGGAGAAAAGTTGATCCAAACCACCAGTTTGAATCCCCAGCTCAGTTTGAAGCTCAGATGATCCTTCCAGGGAGAGAAGGTCCAAAACATCCAGTTTGCAGGATGACTTCCCAAAACATGGTAAACACTCTGGCGTCGAGGTAGTGGCAGTCAGCAGCTTAAGAATCCTCAGGTGATGAGGCAACCATCCGCAGGGTGTGAGAGGACCAGCGAGAACCAGGCGCCATCTGGTGGTGGAGGGAAAACAAACAAAAAAACACAACCCACACAGACTGGATTCCTAACATTAGCTGCAGTTACTGATATTTTGGGTTATTCAGCAAAGTGATTAATGTGTATGTTTATTCTGGGATGTTTTTGTTATTTATTTTAACATTGATTTTAGATGAAATGATGTGCTAAAACTTAGAATATCTTTGTTTTCTTCTTGAGGCTGTGTCCGAACATCCGCACTAAACCCTAAATCCCTCAATCACTATATAGAGCGTGGACTTTATAGTGAACTCAGTTAACTGACCGTTAAGACAGATGATCACTGCTTTTTGCTTCCTGTTGGTTGGTTGGTTGGTTGGTTGGTTGGTTGGTTGGTTGGTTGCTCGTTGACTCAGCCTCTCTGTGCGGTGTCTGCGCCATCTTTGTTTATTATTGCCGCTAAAACAAATCTTATGACGCTTTGTAAGGAAAGCCCTGGCAAGGCAATCTGGGATATATCTGCTCATCTAGTGACCACTGATCATTCAAGGTGTATTGTGGGACATTTCTTCCTCTCTAAAATGGCATAACCACTATTTAGTGGCCTATATAGGGCGCTATATGGTGATTAATCACTATACCGGGCAATATATGGTGATGAATCACCATATGAGGCACTATATGGTGATTAATCACTATGGGACACCATACGTTGAGTACTCACCATATAGTGCCCCGTATGGTGATTCATAACCATATGGGGCACTATCTGGTGTTTAATCACTATACGGGGCACTATATGGTGATTAATCACTATACGTGGCACTATATGGTGATTAATCACTATACGTGGCACTATATGGTGATTAATCACTATGGGACACTATATGGTGATTAATCACCAAATGGGGCACTATATGGTGATTAATCACTATACGTGGCACTATACTGTGATTAATCACCAAATGGGGCACTATATGGTGATTAATCACCAAATGGGGCACTATATGGTGATTAATCACCAAATGGGGCACTATATGGTGATTAATCACCAAATGGGGCACTATATGTCTATTAATCACTATGGGACACTATATGGTGATTAATCACCAAATGGGACACTATATGGTGATCAATCACCAAATGGGGCACTATATGGTGATTAATCACCAAATGGGACACTATATGGTGATCAATCACCAAATGGGGCACTATATGGTGATTAATCACTATACGTGGCACTATATGGTGATTAATCACTATGGGACACTATATGGTGATTAATCACCAAAGGGGACACTATATGGTGATTAATCACCAAATGGGACACTATATGGTGATTAATCACTATGGGACACTATATGGTGATTAATCACCAAATGGGACACTATATGGTGATTAATCACTATGGGACACTATATGGTGATCAATCACCAAATGGGGCACTATATGGTGATTAATCACCAAATGGGACACTATATGGTGATTAATCACTATACGTGGCACTATATAGTGATTAATCACCAAATGGGAAAATATGTTTTCAAAATAAAATCCAAAATTTACCAGACTAAAAATGTTTATAGAACTTTGGCATACAGACTATAAATTACTTCTAAAACTGTTTTTTTTAAGTGAGATTTTTTTTTTAAAGTTCCGTTTTTTGATGGCCATTTTCTTCAAGCTTCCTCTGGTGAAACATGTTGAGTGGTTTCAGTAATACAGGACAAAATGTCTCCCCAAACGAATGGAGAGGAGCGAGCTGAGGATGAATGACAGCAATCTAATTGGAAAATTTCTAAATAAAAACTGGTAAGAAAAGGTTCATTTGTGCCCTAATTAAACCAGTAATCATTAGAAATATGGTTGTCAAGTTGTATTGCTAATACCTGTTGGCTTGAAGACGACTTAAAAGCAGAAAAAATCCAGTCTGTTAATATCGTCTTTGGACAAATTGCTGCTTTTAGTTTTATCAAAATAATCTAACCTCTATTTCCATTTAAACCAGTGTGAATATTTGGTCAGCCAGTGCTTCCCATCAGAAAAATACATTGATCCTTTTTTTTTCTCCTATAAAACACAGAGAAATCTCAATATTTCTTGAATCTCTCAGTTTTGTTCCTTCCATATTTGTTTCCCTTGGTTTAGGTTCCTTTTATGACTCCTGGTTAAAAAGAAGTGATTGCTAATAAA